CCAATATCGTTTTTTCTCCCAGAAGGATGCCTGTTTGTCTCTTTTTTAATGTTTCTCTGTGCACTCAGTCTAAATCTACTTTAACAGCCTTAAAGTTCATTTTTGGGACTTTTTTTTGATAGAAACACCACTTACCTCTCCCAAAGCTGTAATGGGGATTCTCTCTGCAAGCAGATCTAACCCTTGAGCGACAGAAATGAAGACGGGCATGGCTGTCTTTCAGAATTCAGTGAACCAGGGGCAACAGGGATTAATTAAAATGGAAAGTGAGGTTTATCCTCGGACCAACATCACCTACTGGGAACCCAACGGGAAAGTCAAACCATCCTGAAAATCCGCTTATGGTCTGAGAAAACAATTTAACTGCAGTGGGTTAAATCCCTGCTTGTCAGTAGCATTTTAATAGACCTTTCTCTTCAATATCATTTCACATATGTACCCAACTTTACTATAGCAAACCATCTAAAACTACAGCTTTTGATTTGAGTTATAAAAGTGATTACAAAACACAATGTCAACAAGGTTCAGTGAAGTTAAAATAATTGTAAATTTTAATAATTCTAATAGAGCAACAATCTATGTGTGTGCGTTTAAATAAGTTAAGCATTTTTTCCAATTCGTTTTTTGGATTCTTTTCTGTTTTGATTTTTCTCCCTCTGTGTTATTTCCTTTTTTTTTTTTTCCTTTTGTATCATTTTTTACATCCCCGCTCAGAATATTCCCTTATACTCATTTCCCACTAACTGAAAAACCGGTTTAAACCTGGGAACAATCGGCTTTTATTAACAGTGGTAACAGCTCACTGACGCGTGTCTACCCGGGTCAAATTACTTGACAAGCGACCCATGTTAAAATCACCGTGGCTCTGATCGGCGTGCTGTGGGAACCCCTGAAGCGGGTCGACCTGCTAATTTATGCGATACCATTTAGCGCAATGTACGGAGGTCAACACACCGCACAAGCCACATCTGATTTAACAAGCTGAAACAACTCTCTTTACATTCGTAAGCATGGAGCAGCACTGGTGAGAGGGATTCGGACAGATAAAACAGTGATACAATAAAGCACACTGACAACGCCCTCATTTCCTTACATGTTGCTCTCCACAGCACCCCTTGTGACCCCACTTGGGATAAGCGTGATGGAAAATGAATGGATGGATTTGTATGGATGTCATTTTCATGTTTAAAAGGAAGGGGTTTACACAGGGTACTTACAAGACCCAATGGGCTGGATTTATCAAGATCCAATTTTGCGTGCAGTAATTTGCGCTCGCAAACTGGAATTTTGCGCGAGGGGCTGAACCATGGTTTGCGGATGATTTAACAAGAGCGATTGCGTAACTGGTGGCAGGTGCAAAACTGTTGGAGACACCCTATTTAAATGAGGGTTTTGCGCATTTTGTGGTTTGCGGCATGGCGAGTTTGGACAGCAGAAAGCGCAAAAGGAAAGTCGACCCCATGGAAATGGAGGTGTTGGTGGATGAAGCCAACAAACATTTAAATGAGCTACACCAAAGAAGTGTGACTGTCATACAGAGGAACGCTATATGTGAACAAATCTGTAATAAAGTAAACGCTGTTGGTGAAACCTTGCGAACAGTGGATGAAGTAAAAAAAAATATACCAGGATATTAGAAGGCGAACCAAAGAAAAACTGGCATATAAAAAAACATCTGCGAGCAAAACAGGAGTGGGCACAGTAGATGAGATGCCTCTGACCAGCATTGAGGAACAAGTACAGCTGTTCCTTGAAAAGAGATCCAACCAGCGGCTACAAAAAGAAAATAATAGACTCTCAAACAACTTGAAAAAGACAAGGTAATTAACAGCACAGCCTATTTCAGATTATATCCAGGGGAGGAAATTCCATGCTTATATGGACTTCCAAAATTTCACAAAGAAGGGGCACCACTCAGGCACATTGTCAGCAGCATTAACTCAGTAACATACAACATTGCTAAACAGCTTACTAATATCTTAGCTCCCTTGGTGGGGAACACACCACATCACATAGAAAACTCCAAAGACTTTGCCAACAAAGCCAAACATTTAAGGATGGCTCCAGGAGAAACCCTGGTATCGTTTGATGTTACTTCACTTTTCACATGCATACCTATAACAGAGGCAGTGGAAACAGTCAGGACACGTCTTGAACAAGATAGTGATTTAAACAACAGGACTAATTTCACTCCGGACCAGATCTGCACACTACTGGGCCTTTGTCTTTCCACAACCTATTTCAAATTCAGAGGTAATTTTTACAGACAGAAACATGGCTGCGCAATGGGATCTCCAGTATCACCAATTGTAGCAAATCTTTACATGGAAGAAATGGAAAAGAGAGCTTTAGACACTTTCAATGGAATACCACCAAGCCACTGGTTTAGATACGTGGATGACACTTTCGTCAAAATCCAGCTAGAGGAAGTGGAAGCTTTCACCAAACACATCAACGCTGTTGACCGCAACATCAAATTCACCAGAGAGGATGCCAAGGACAACAAACTACCCTTTCTGGACTGCCTGGTGAGCATGGAAGGAGATGGAAGCCTAAACATTGAAGTTTATAGGAAACCTACTCACACAGACCAGTATCTTCTTTTTGACTCACACCACCCACTGGAACACAAACTCTCAGTCATCAGAACCTTACAACACCGGGCAGAACATGTCCCCACTAAAACAGATGGGAAGCAAAAAGAACAGAAACACATCAAAGATGCTCTCCGAAACTGTGGATATCCAAACTGGGCTTTTATCAAATCAGCATGGAAATCCAAAAGACACGCAACAGAAGACAGCGATGGGAAAATTAAACGCAAAAACATCACAATCCCTTATGTTGCTGGAGTGTCTGAAAAGCTCAAGAGGATTTTCTCCAAACACAAGATCCCAGTACATTTCAAGCCAAACCAAACCCTTAAACAGAGGCTAGTGCATCCGAAAGATAAAACCCCCAGACCAAATATGAGCGGAGTGGTATATGCTGTTCAGTGCAGTGAGGAATGCTCTGATCTTTATATTGGAGAAACCAAACAACCTCTCCACAGACGCATGGCCCAACACAGAAGAGCGGCCACCTCTGGACAAGACTCCGCAGTACACCTACACCTTGTGGACAAAGGACATTCTTTTGAGGACCAGAATGTCCATATTCTGGATAAAGAAAATAGGTGGTTTGAGAGGGGCGTGAAGGAAGCCATCTATGTTAAGAGAGAAAAACCAACTTTAAACAGAGGTGGTGGACTGAGATTCTAGCTTCCAAAAACATACAATTCAATCATAGACATGATCCCTTCCAGATACCACCAAACCCCCCACCCCATCACAGAGGAACGAGGGACTTACCCGATCCAGCCGGTGAACAGTACCTCCTTAACGACCAACCCTTAACAATCATAGACAGGTTTCAGGTATTACAGGAGACAATCCCCCCCTTAATGACAATCCCCCATTTAACGACCGACCCCTAGAATCATAGACAGTTTCAGATATTACAGGCTAGCGATGGAACTAACGACCCATTCATCGGTTTCTATTGCATGTTTCCAAGCGATACAAGGCGTTGTCTATATAAGACTCAAACTCACTGCGGATCTAGACATTTGAATTGAGAAAGCTTACTGGAGAGGTGGCGAAACGTCTTCAAATCTTGAAAACCAAGTCCAGCGGATATTTTTTGAATTTTTACGGAAGTACAGCTGACGCTCTGTGAGGAGCAAATCACTGGAATTGCAGCTCCAAAATGGCAATGCTGGATAAACGATATATTTTGATGATCGTTTCCTCGTTCACTCCAAAAATATTCACACGGAGTGAAAAAATGCGTTCTCTGCGTCTCCTTGCTTCATTTCCATGTCTCCTTCTTGCGACAATAACCGCTGCCATGTGTGCGCAATTACGCATACAGACCATTTGCACCTTCTTTTGAAACGTGTTAAATATAGAGTCAGATACCGTTAGCAAAATTGCTTTCAGGTTTGATAAATCACTTTGCGAGTGCTAAATTAATATATTTACATGTTCTCCTCCCACAAGACGCACTTTTGCGTGTAAACGCCCCAAATTGCATATTCATAGCAGAAAAAGTACTAAATGGATAAGAGGCGCTATTTAGCACGTTTTAAAGACCATATCCTTTTAGCACGCTGTTGATAGATCGGTTTGTACATTTTTTAGCGTGCGCAGTGAAATAGCTCACGTTTTTATACACGCAAACCTTTGATAGATCCGGCCCAATGTCTTGTAAAACCTAAACCAAGATTGAAGGTCAAACTCAGAACTCAGTCCTAGAAAGTTACATCAAACAAGGGCTGCATAATTTCCTTGTTTGACTTAGCACTACCCTTAGCAAAAACTATACTTGAAGTAAACTAAATTGGGACTTTTTTAAGTTTACTAAAGTATACTTAATGTATACTTTATTAAACACTTTTTATACTTTTCAGTCTAAGTCAAGTACACTTGACTATACTATAGTTAAGTATATGAAATATAGTTTAGAATAAGTAAATTCTAAGTGCACTGCCTGATTTTAAGTATGAAATTAGTGCACTTTTATTATACTTGAATAAACTTATTTTTGCTAAGGGTGAGCTAGACTGAGTGAAATAAAGCAAACAGTTTAATGTATTTCCTTTTTTAAGGCAGCATCTTTGAGAATAAGGTTGAATATTTAGAGGTTGAATGTGTATTTATTTATAATTCAAAAGAGCAAAAAAACAAAACATTAATATTAAATGCTGCTGATTTTTCTTATTGTTACAATAACAAACTGTTTTGATTGTAAGAGAAAATTTGATTCCTCGTTACACTCTCCGTTACTTGGGGATTTAAAGTATTACAGCCAGAGACATGGCGCGTTTCCAGCCTTTTGCACCGGGACTTTAGTTATTTAACATCCTGGCAGCAGAGAGACGCGTAGCGGCAGCAGAAGCGCGTCAGAAGTGAAGCTGCTTCTCCGCCTCATCACATCAAGACAGACAGACAGACAATTATTTTACTGCCATAATTATCCGAGAATTCCCCAGGGTATTTGCCAGTCCGAGAAGGAATTAATGAAATAAGGAGGGCGGAGTGAGCTGCGACAGATGTTGGGGAAGTATTGTTGAATGTGGAGAAAAGGAGGAAGAGGAGGAAGAGGAGGGAGACTGTCCTGACCTCAGATGAGCATGTGAAGCCATGAAGGATTTGCGATGATTCTTTCTCTGAAAACATCCGCTGGTGAGTTTCATTCATGGGATATTGCTTTTCTGAAAAAAAAAAAAAAACTTAACGCAATTTTTTATTTACTTTGTTGTTTCCTTCATATAAAAACATCTCCACTTTACTTTCCTATACTTCTTTAATGAAAAGAAAAATTTAAACTCGCACTTTACTTGTAATGTAGTCAAATCTCATCGAAAATAGAAAAATGTATCCAACAACCTATTTTTATAAAAAAAAATAATAATTTAATTCCAACGTTTTGCAGTAGTGAAAAAAAAAAATTGAATACTTGATTTAAAGGCTAGAATGATGAACTGATTTAAGGATTAAAGAAACCATGAAAAAGATAAAGAAAGCAAGCTCTAAAATTAAACACTTTGTTTTGAATGGTTTTGGGTTTGTAGGCTAGTGAAATGATTCATTTTGATGCTCTTGAAATGTGATATCTGTGTTTCATTGCCTTTTAGAAATGTCATTTGAGTCAATGCATGAGAAAACCTTATTATTATTTTTAATATATATTATTTTATATTAATTGTGGTACCCAGTTTAAACACTTTTTATATTTAATCTCTATTTTCTATTTCAATGATCAATAAAATTAGATTGTTTTTCAGCTTATTATCAGGCATTTGAAATCTCTGCAGTTATGTTGCTGTTTTTATGCAGTGACACTGAGCAGTAATCCTCTGCATAGTTTGTTCCATAAACCTAAAAAAGGGGGTTGCAGCAGGCTGTGTTTTAACTGCCTTTGAGCAGGATTATAAACAACAACAACAACTGCACAGCCTCGTTTCCTCATGGGACAGTGTTAACTGGTGTTTACAATGAAGTATTTTATATCTCTATCAAAAGCCTTGTTACCTACAAGGATAAATACTCACAAACCTGCCCCCCACTTTGTTTGAGATTCTCACCTTTGACTGAGAGGAGTCAGGTTTAGGAATTTTACAATGAGATCCAAAGGTGAAGTCAGAACAGATGTAAACTGTTACCTTTCCTGTGATAATCGGGACACACATATAATCAGTTGAAGCTCAGGAGAAGCAGATCACCGGCAAGGGAAAACCAAGGATTTACGCCTGGGATTCAGCCAAATGGGCAATTTAATCAGAGGCTGTTTAATGCACAGGAAGTATGTCAGTCTCCTTAGCAAATGATTTACCTGAACTATTATATTCAGATGGAACTTTTGGCTGCAACTTATTCAAGCCTCAGACAAGAAACTGATCAAATTATCTTTTTCAAGACTTTTTCAAGTCTTTTCTTGTGTCCTGTTAGTAAATATATGAGGGCTGCTGTATGTCTGCACTTTAAGGTGATTTTGTTTCTTGTTTTTTAGGTTGTGCGTTTGTTGACCTTTACTGCTTTGACAGTATTATTTGGTTGCATAAGAAAATTCATAAATATATATATACACGCAAATAAATAGCTTCTATTTACCCACTACTTGTACTCCTATCAGGGGTGGTTGGCTCTTTATCTCAAGGTCAGGTCCTCTTCTAGAGGAGCTTGAGGATGCTTTAAGGTGTCTTAGGCTACGTTCACACTGCAGCCTGAAGTGACCCAAATCCGATTTTTCAACCTCTATCTGATCTTTTCATGGCAGTCTGGACAACACAGATCCGATTTTTTCCAGTCCGACCCAGGCCACTTGGCTATGTGGTCATGGATCCGATACCAATCTGATCTTTTCAAATGCGACCTGTGTGTGAATGGCCAGGTTGCATTCATCCGACCTGAATGCCATTAGTAACCGACATAACTCAATATTCTGATTTTTGCAACACAGAAGTGGCAAGAAAAATAAACACCATGGTGGACGATGATGCAGAGAGCAGTAGTTAGGTTTAACCATCTTGGAAAGATTGAGGTTTTAAGGTTTGGAAAGATCGCTAGATGCGCTCCAGCACTACATCGATGTTTACTTCTGTAAAAATGAAGCATGCTGGCTTGTAATGTCATTGCATCATCTACTACGCATGCAGGATGCTTAAGCTGTATGAATGCAGTTTTCACAGGAGATCACATACAAGTTGCATATATTTGGAAATGTGAACAGCAATGCAAAAATAATCGGATTTCACAAAAAAAATCGCAATTGAGCATCAAGGTCTGCAGTGTGACCGTAACCTTAGCTATCCTTCTGCTCTTCTGTACCGAGATTTCTTTTTTTTTTTTTTTTTTTTTTATACAGTGTCCTGTCTGGCAAGGTGGCAATAAGAATAATTGTCTTGATGCCAAAAGGAGCCCAACAGATTTTACTTTCACAAGTGTAGCGGTATGGCAATTGCCATACTGCTCCACTTGTTTTATGTATATAAATTGCTTTATTATAATTGTACCGAGATTTCTGATGTTTCTTCTGGTATTAGTTGCAGCTACTTCTCGACCTAATCCCAAGCTGGCCCCTTACCAATTCCCCGTAGCACTAACCCTCCATTTGTGTGTTCACACAGAGGGCCAGCCACAGGAAGGGCTGTCCCAAAGCATTTAGTGAGTAGGCCTAGTGGACCCTTTAGCCCTAAGTAGGGAGTCTGCATCAGTTGCAGGCTCACTGGAATTTGGTAGTGGGTGTAACGGTGAACTGATGGCGAAGGAAACATGTGCGTGTAAATGCAAGTTCCGCTGGTTTGCTGCATCTTTATCACAGTGACAGAAAATCACAAGTTGGGAACAAGAAAAAAGACGTAATTATTTCCAAAAGGGAGGGTCCTCTGTGGAATAGTTTTATTTGACTGTATGATTTTATTTTATTTTATTTTATTTTAAGAAATGGCAAAAGTTTTGATGTTTTGCAAGTTGGGCCACAGAGCTACAGCCACGCCTAAGGAGGGGGGTCACTGTATTAAAATAGTAACGACTGCTTTCCTTTTCCATTAGAAGAAGAAGGAGACCATCCTATTCTGATTTATCCCACCCACCCCCCACATACAAGTCATGGAGCCCTGTACAACTGCGAGTGTGACTTTACTGTGAGTGACACTCGATGGTTAAGGGATAGTGCTTAGGGGCCCTCCATTCTGGGGTTTACTGCCCCAAGTGCTCTGATGAACATGGGCACTACCGTTGCTCTCACCTTGCAGGCTTTTTGTATTTCTTGCCTGAGCCCCTAATATTGATCCAGTTTCTCCTTTAGTTTAGACATTTTTTAAGGGAAAGATGGGTTGTGCTTTGTTCTATCAACCCTAATTTAAGCATCCGGGTGGTTGAGCTGCTAATGAACTACTGGGCATAAATAATCAGTCATTAGTTTGCTTGTGAACACGCATAACAATAGCTGCATTTTCATTACAAATGTGCACAAAACTATATAAATATCGTGCTAATCTCTAAAATTCAAGTTTTTAACAATAACAGTTTTCCCTTAAATAAGAATTAGAACAAAAATTGCGCATTTATTCATGTTTTCACATGATAAACTCTTGAAATCATGTCAGTGGCGGATATGAATTCGTCTATTTACAAGGCAGTTTACAGGACCCGTTGCAGGTGACTCTGTCATGTAAAAAACTGTTTGTATTGCAGTTTTTGTAAAAATAAGAATGTTTTTTCCACCGCAAAACCATCCCATCAAAGTGTAAAAAAAGTTTCAGTGTCTCCATTTAGCAAGTTTATTTTCGTAATTACATTTTACACAATTTGATGATTAATAGATATGCAGCTAATGACATGTTGTTTTCTGTGGGTTTCTAGATATGAAGATAATTTCTTAAAACACAAACTGGGAATCTGATCAGATTGCAAACAGATGGGACTCAAGTAACTTTGGTTGTTGGTCTCAAACTTGTCGGTCTGACAATTCTTTTCTGAAACTGCTGGTCTACAGGAAATGCTGGTCTACAGGAAATGCACAGCCATCTCAAGGGAATGCCCTGAAAATGGAAAAATATCTAATAAGCTTCAGGTGTATGGCATAAAATGTGTTTCTTATGTTCAAAATCCTTCACTGGCCTGGTCTGCAAGCTCAGCAGATCTCAATTCAATTGGGTACCTTTAGCATGTGGTGCAGCAGAAGTTTCTTATTATGGACAGACAGCTGACAGCTGACAGATTTGCATTAACCTTATGATTTAATCATGTCAACAAGGATAAAATATGTTTCTTCATCTTGTTGCATTACTCCATTAAAATTTATATACACTGTGGACGGTCATTTCGAAAGTAACTTCACCCATTTTGTAAATTAAAGCTTAGTGAGAAAGAAAAAAACATGCTGTAATTATTTCAAGAGCATTTAAATTTAGTAAGAATTACTTTCTGTCACAATGTGGTTGTGACTTTGTGGACCAAAGTAAAGGAAATCAGAGCAGATCAGCATGATGAGGATTCATGCAATTTGACATAGAAGCTGACAGACAAAGAAGAAGGCAACTCATAGAACTAAGAACAGGTGCTGATAATGGGAGACAATGAGGGGCTGCAGGTGAGTTGAGTTACTAATTAACTCAAAGTGCCGACAGGGGGTAAAATAAACAAGGCAATACACAGAGGATCTAATCAGATAAGAAATAACCCAATGAGACCCAATGGACATAGAAATGATTCAAAGCCAAACATGAACTAAAGTAGGAATCTAATTCTGACATCTGAAGAGAACAACTCTGCAATCAAAAAGTAAGACAAAGAATCTTAAAAACTACGATGAAAAAAATGAAGAAACATAATGTAAAGCAAAGACAAATGGCCTGGCAGAGGTTTGCTAAAACACATAGACATAATTTCATCTGATTCCTTAGACTTTTTAATTCAATAATGTATGAGCTACAATAAAGTTGGAGGCTAATGCTGCAATCACATCATTTATTATTATTTATATATATATATATATATATATGTGATTTTCTTAATGTGATGAATATGTAGTTTCACAGAAATCCAGGTGTTGACTCACCTGCGGTGGCATAAAATCCATCCTTTGTATGTAATCAGGGAACTGGTTATGCGGGAAAGACAATGAATTTATTTGTCATAGATAGCTCAACAAATTGTATTTTTCTGAGCCGCTCTGCGTC